ACAGAAGAGGGCACTAGACCCCATTACAGATGGTTGTGAGCCACCATGTGGTTGCTGGGAATTGAACTCAGGACCTTTGGTAGAGCAGGCAATGCTCTTAACCTCTGAGCCATCTCTCCAGCCCGAAAGCCTTTTCTTTATCTTTTTCTTGTAAAGGTATAGTGAAGAAACAATCCTTTAAATCAATAACTGTAGGAGGCTATCCTTTGATGATAGAGAAGACAGAGTAATTCCAGATTGTAGAGGGCACATAGATTAGATAACTTTGACAACTCTTAGATCTGTCATCATATTCCATTTTCCAGATTTCTTTTTAACAACAAACACAGGGGAATTCCAAGGGCTGGTTAATTCTTCAGTATGGTGAGCATCTAGTTGCTTCTGGACCAGCCTTTATAAAGCCTACAGTTTGTCTTTCTTTAAAGGCCATTGTTTAACCCATATGGGTTTCTCAGTTAACCATTTTAAAGGCAAGGCTGTTATTACCTCTGAAGGCTTGCTAGTTGCTTTGTGTTCTTGTACAGCCTAAATGGCTGGTGACCTTTTTTTTTTTTTAATATCTTATAATATCCTTCTCTGAAACATGAGTTTTTGGGACTGCAGGAATGTTAAGTTAACCTGGGTATTCCATTGCTTCAATAGGTCACAACCCCATAAATTCACTGCAATATTAGCTACATATGGCCTCAGCCTTCCTATCTGTCCTTCTGGTTCTATGCATTAAACCCACCTCGTGCTTTACTTCACTTGAGATAGGGTTCCAATTCCTAGGAATTGAATATCTGCCTCTTAAGAGGCCAATCTGGATGCCAAGATTTTGGAGTAATGATAGTCACTTCTGCACCTGTGTCTAGTAATTCCTCCATTACAATGTCATTTACACGTACTCTTAGCTTTGGTCTTTGATCATTTATAGAAGTTTTCCAATATATATGTTTCCTATTTCTTACTGGAGTTTTTTACATCCTCCAAGTCCATTCCATTATCCGGAACAGTATTTTTACAGTACATATTGGATTGTTTAATTCTCCTGGTGAGACATGTTCTCCACAGTGACTGGGAATGACTGTACATTGTTTGATATCAGGGCCTGGGAGAGGCCCCCCAAGGAGTTTCCTCATGGTATCAGGTTGCCTTGTTTGTCTCTTGTTGATCTACATTCATTAGTCCAATGTCAGCATTTGCCCTACCTCCTACATATACCAGAAGGCTGAGTCCTCCTATTCTTGCCATTCCTAGAGGAGACATTATTCCTAGGAACTACTTGTCTACAGTCCCTTCTTAGATGTCCTATTCTTCCACAATTAAACATTTGGCATTTTGGTGTCTCCTCATACCATTGGAAATCGCTTGTCCTACCCAAGCTTCAGTACTATAGTCAAATTCAAATGTTTCAACATTCATTGTATGCAAGATCCATTCATCTGTGGGTGCTGATCTAATCTAACCTTTAAAGGCCCAAGGAGCTTACATTCTAAGTTGGCATTTTCAAAAGCCAAGGATTCACTTAGTCTAGCTTCAGGGTCTGTCACTCCTAATTGTACAGCCTTAGTTAATCTTTGTAAGAGGTCAGTAAAGGGTTCTCTCTGGCCCTGTTTAACCCTAACATATGACTCAGTCTTCTTTCCTTGTTCCTGAATTTTGTCCCAAGCCTTTAAAGCTGCTGTGCTACATAGGGACAGGTGCATTCATAGCGAGCCTGGTCCTGAGGATCAGAGTAATGACCCTCGCCAACAATTTGGTCTTGGGAAGTCTCAAATCCTTTTGCTTTCCCCTGTTGCTCTAAAGTTTTTTGCCTCTTCTCTCCAATTACACTTCCAAAGCAGCTAAGGTCCACTTTCTAGGACCACTGAGATTAATTGAAACCAATTGTTTGGGGTTGCCTTAGTGCTTGAAGCCTACATTTTCACCATTTCCCTGACAAATGGTGAATATAGCCCTTAAAAAAATAGCGCTTGTTTCATTTCTTTCATACTATTGGTTCCTGTGCATATTCTTTGACTGTCTTAGGGTACTTTGTGCCAGATGGTCTTTCTGAGGAAACTACCGGGTATGTAGTTGAAACTCTGTGTAAGTCACCCAGGGGTCTGGCACGTACTGATGAGGCTAAATCCTGCTCTGTCCCTGCTCATCAATTTCAATAAATTCCTCAATCTTTTCAATTCTTTTTATTACTGCCTTTTTAAAAAGTCTGAATCTCCTGTCCAGTGTTCTGTTCTAATGTCCTCAGTGAGGATTCCAAGGTATGAATCTTGTCCAGTAAAGATAATGTTATAACTTTTCAACAGATTCTGATAGTTAAATTCAACAACACAAATTCTTTCAGATAATTTTGTCAAATTGATGCTATCCCTCTCCGTAGTATTGAACCATTTTTTAATGAGATAATATTGAAAACAAGGCTAATTCCTAGAAACAAATAAAGGGATGTAGAAGGAATATTACGTAAGCCTTGCAGAATACCTTCTATAGTATAAACAAAATAATTATTGAACTCCTGGATGTTATCAGTCATTTTTTGTAGTTTTTCAGATCTTACCTGTCTTAATGCAATTACAATGAATTGGAGTAGGTGTAATAATCATTTTCGGCCAGCAGGTGTAGCAGTTGCAGCCATGTGGCCAAGAGACCTAGTAGTAGTGAACAGCATGAATTGCTTACTTAGGTACTGAAAAATACACTTTGTTTAACATATTAAGAGCAGTTATTAAGGTGATCAAATGATTCCGAGAGTTGGGGCCCAGGATAAAGAGAAAACCCAAAGTTTTCTGTCAATCCGAGTTGCGAACTGTGTGCATCGCAGGGACTACAGGTGTGAGCTGGTGTGTAACGCACAGAGAGGCAGTGTGTGGATCGTGAGCCGGGGAGCTCTGTGAAGCAGGCTGCTGCATCTGAGGGCTGGCTAGAGCCGCAGGTGGGAGAGTCAGTGCCCATCCCAAAAAGTGTGGACTGGTCCTCATCTTAGGCGGAATTTACAAAACAATTCCACACTAGTTCAGAATGACGTATAATAAAGGGTTATTTATTTAGGGGAGAGTCACAGATCACTGTCCTAGATCACAGTCCTCTGCATGAATGGGGAACAGGAACAGAGTCTAGCAGCCGGAAGTGAGAGCCAGAAACACACACTTTACAGCTGCATTTATAGCATAAGAAACCACATGGGCTGGTATCTTAAAGCTATAGCCAAAGGAGCTCCCACGGCACTACCTCTTAACTGAATCAGTTTGCAGCTGGCATTCGTTGGACCTGGACCAAAGATTGCTGTGAATGAGTTGAATTTGACACTCAGGTGGTGCACCACGCTGTCCCTGTACTTCTACTGGGGATTGACATTGTCCCATAGTTGTCCTTTATTGCCCGTGGCCCACACTGCTCTGGGTATGAGGGGCACAGCATTCTGATAGTACCTGTGAGCTTCCTGACTCTAGGCACAGGCCTAGCAGCAGGGTCACAGGTAGTGGGATGGGTAGAGCCTGGTGGCCTACTGGTTGGGGGGACTCAAGGCTTGGACTCGAGAGAGCTTATGCTTTGTAGCATAGCTGACCCTGTCTCCTTCACCTGAGCAGCAGAGGGGTAGGGAACAGTTTCCTCAGCATTTTATTAAGAGCTTTTCAAATGCACAGCAAGGCAGGGTGTTTTATAGCAATTACTCATGAGACATGCCTGGGACTTCGGTCCTCCTTCTTTAGGTGCTCCTTCCTTAGCCTCCAGGAGCTGGGGCTTCAGGTGTTTGCCAGCATGCCTTTTAGTTTTATTTTGAGACGGGATTTCTCTGTGTGTAACCCTGACTGTCCCGAAACTCACTGGCCTCAAACTCAGAGTTCTGCCTGCTTTTGCCTCCAGAGTACTAGGATTAAAGGTTAAAGGTGTGTGCCACCATGACCAGCTATGTCCTTTTTTTTTTTTTGGAGAGGGAATTATAAAAGTTTGATAATTGCTTTATGTTTGGAGCACCACCTTCTGTGGTGCAAGACACTGATTCTGCATGTAGAGTAGGTGCTTCTGACCTGTAGCAGGGTCGTGCCCTGGTAGCTCTTCCTAAATCAGAACTACTGTTGGGTTAAAAGTGCATTGAGTGATGGCTCAGTGGGTTAAGAGCTCTGGCTGCTCTTCCAGAGGACCCAGGTTTGATTCCCAGAACCCATGGTAACTCTAGTAACAGGAGATCTGACACCCTCTTCTGGCCTCTGAGAGCACCATGAATGCATGTGCACAGACAAATAAAACATTCATACACACAATGAAATGAAATCTTTAATAAAACCATGCATCAACTACCCCAGTGGAGCATCTGAGACTAACCCCACCTTTCAAATGTGTTCAGAACCAGAGCTGAACAAAGCCGTGTAAGGGAAGGCCTGCTTTACAGTCCCATTGATTACTTGGTCGAGTGATCACTAAAAGTGAGCTGGGTATGTGGGTACATCTTTGCACTGTGGTAAAGTCAGTGTATTTAAGTCTAGCCGTTTTAAATTGGGGGCCTTCTCTCTGGCTTTAGGGTATGTGGAGGTCTGTGCCGACTTTGGACACTAACCAGCTCACCTCTCTGGTTCTGCAGGACTGTGGTACGGAGGTGCACTGCCCTGACTTTCACAGCCTCGGAGGATCGGGTCTTGGTAGCTGACAAGTCTGGAGATGTCTATTCCTTCTCGGTGTTAGAGCCTGATGGACGTGGCAGGCTGGAGCTTGGACACCTCTCCATGCTGCTAGATGTGGTGTGTGGTGGCGGTGGGGGGCACACAACACTGTTTGCTGCTGCCAGGGCTTGAAAGGGGGTGGTGTGGGGTCAGGGACAGAGAGGGAAGAAACATGGGACTCTTCCAGAGCAGGAGACTTAAGAATGTCATTGATAGGTGAAGTGGAGTACACTTCTAGACCACATTCCAGGAAATGTAGGGAGGTGGCGAGACCTCCTTGTATCTTGCTATAGCTCTGCTTACAGTCTCCCCTCTGTCTGCTCCTAGCGTGTAGCCAGGGCCCTGGCCTCCAGCCTGTAGAACTGGGACAGACTGAGGTGGGGTGGAATCAGGGGCTGTTTGCAGTGCCTGGCATGACTCTGGCTGCTGCTGTACAGTGTGGAGAGGGAGGGGTGCCGTGGGTATTTGTGAGTGGCATTGGAGTTGGTCTCAGTGTATAGAAGTGTGGCTCTGGCTCTCATTTAAGCTGACTAATGTGAACTGGGCTGGCAGTTCCATTGCTCTTCCAAGCTGCCCTGCAGTTCCCCAAAAGAGGCCTTCAGAATCCAAGCATTCTCATGGTGCTTTGCAAGGCCACCCAGTGAGTGGCTCTTCTTCTACTGACCCCTGGTGATGTAGGCCATGAGTCCTGATGACCAGTTTGTGCTCACTGCGGACCGGGACGAGAAGATCCGGGTCAGCTGGGCTGCTGCTCCGCACAGTATCGAGGCTTTCTGCCTGGGACACACAGAGTAAGTGTGATCCTGTCCCCTCCTCAGTCAGGGTCTAATGATGAGGGTGGGCCAGGACTCTGGTATCTGTTGGTAGACTGGTAGGGGCTCCATGCTAAGAGCTACCTGAGACTCAGAAGACCCTTCTGGGCCCATGGCTCCCTCAGTGTGACAGCTGTGGCCATCTAGCGCTGTAGGCTGTGTGAAGCAGTTGCTCTGAGCTTACCTCCAGGGCTGTTGCTCCTCAGCCCTTTCCTAGTCTCACATTGAAAACTTTCTGGGCCTAGTGGCCAGTGCCTGGTGGCTGCAGGTAGTCGGTAGGAGCCTGAGGAGCATCCTTTAGGCACTTGGGCTGTAGGGAGCTAAATGACAGGGTCCCTAGGTCTGTCTCCATCTGTGCTCTCCTGGCAGGAGCCTAGCTGGGAGGCCTTGAGTAGAGTGTGTTGTTGAGAATGGAAAGGGCATTATTATAGACAGTAGAAAACCTGAAGGACTGAAATTCAGTTCTGAGCTGGCTCTTGGCTTCCTGAGTGGGGTGCAGAAGTTCGCCTTGGACTTCTACTTGTCCCATACTCCAGGTCTTGAGTTTTTGTTACCCTCAGTCATGTCCTCATCACTTCAGTGGACTTGAATTCTGACCCTCAGCCCAGCTGGAATGCACTCCTGCATCAGGATCTTTAGATTTCTGCATTGCCAGAGAATGGACCCATCTGTGGCCTTCTATGATGATATCTGTTTAGTTCAGCTTGTGGAGACTAGTTCCACTTACCTGCTAAGGACTTGGGATTATTCTTCTTGGATGACCTAAGACTAGAACTAGGCATCCTAAGAGATGGCAGCTGTTAGTCAAAGACCAGCTGCAGGTCAGGCCTGAGTCAGGGTGGTGGCTTGCTATTGGTGTGGTGGGTGATGGAGGAAGCCTTCCGGACCAGCATGTCACAGGAGTCCTAGGTCTTATGAGTGATATCTTGAGGTTTCTGTTAAGAGCTGGTAGAAGAGCAACCTTGCTGCTTGGCAGGTACTAGAGACATACATGTTCATGGCCAGAAGGACTGCAGAGTAGATGTGGGAATCCCGGAGGGCCAGCATGTGCAGGTGCACTTCTGGTGGCAGAGTGGTTTCGATGTCCTGAGATTGGTGGATAGAAGTCTTCGGTTGGGTTCCTTGAGGCACCAGTACTGGACTGGCCACATAGAGCTCCCTTGGGGTCTGCTTCAACTGCAAAGTAGTGTGGTTTTTCTCCTGTGCTGACCTTGAATGGAGGCAGGTGTGTGGGGCAGAGTGAGTTAATGTCACCATGAAGAGCTGCATGTCCTACAGCGCTCCAACAGAACTGGGTCCTGCCACCCTTGGTCCAGATAGAATGTTGGGGATCCAAAGTGCCCAGCCATGTTCTCAGACCTGCAGTGTTTTTCTTTTCTGAGACATTCTTGGTGACTTATTTTTGCTTCCCACAGGTTTGTGAGCCGCATCTTTGTTGTGCCCAGTCACCCTGAGCTGCTGCTTTCCTCGTCTGGGGTAAGTTCTGTGTGTGGGGTGGTCAGTGCTGTTCAGAAGAAAATAGCTCCTAGCTAGGGTGCCAAGTATAGTATGTCAGTGGTGGCCACTAGAGGGAGCTTCTTCCTGGCTCTGAGTGGTCCCTTCCTTCACAGCTGTATATACATATGGTTTGTGTGCACATGTGTGTTCACCTGCCTGGTCCCAGCACAGCGGACATTGTAAGTGGATTAGCAGGGGAGTCTGGACATATTAGTTCCTTTGTCCCTTGTGCCATGGTCTTGATTGGCCTGCCTTCACAGAGGCTTTCCTAGGTGCTCCATGGCAGCTGTTGGTACTTTGCTGAGACATAAGGGAGGGAGCCCCAGATGTCAGTAGGGATGCTGGCCACATATAGCCATGCTTGGGGTCCTGTGTTTCCACTCTCTTCTCCCTGCCTTTCTTGCTTCTGGGACAGGCCACTTGAGCCCACACAAGCCCTTTTGTCTGTGCACAGGATGGCACCCTGAGACTCTGGGAGTATAGGAGTGGCTGCCAGCTGCAGTGCTGTGACCTGGCCAGCCTACAGGAGCCTGCAGAACATCAAGGACACAAGGTAACTTCATGCTCAACTCTGGTACTGGAGCCAAGCACCTCCTATTGCTCTGATTGTGGGAAAGTCATCTGTGAGAAACATTGCCTTGCTGTCAGTGTCTGACTTCTTCCCACTTGGGAGAAATACTCACAGGACTTCATTTTGAAAGGTGTATGATCACCTGATTGAAAGTAATTCACATCTCACCTCACAGGGAGGCCTCCAGGCATACATGGACATCAAACAGTATTTGCTTAGAGCCTTACCTATGTTTTGACAGTGTATGTGAGAGGTACCCCAGCTCACAAGTGCCTCTTGGCACCAGTTGTACCCATGCTTCCTCTGGCATCAGGGAAGACTCCTGGATTTCTTAGCTGTCTTAAAATTGGGTGACATGGTGTCTGCCAGGCCAGCCATTGAGCAGCAGGTGCTTTTTCCCACACATTGTGAAACTTGGGGACTTGTAGAAACTTCTTCTGGGTGTATCACCTTCTGTCTGGGAAGCATGGGGGCCCATAGGACAGTTGTCTGATTACAGTCCCTCTTGTCTTACGTTCCTGCTTTCCCACCTGTTCTGTTGCTCTGGGGACAATCACAGGCCTGCAGGGAGCCAGGGTCACACATGCTTTGACACTATGAGGGAACTATGATGCCAGTGGCCTTGCCCTCTGGTGACTTGAGAAGGGCATAGGTGACCTGTCAGCAGAGCCTGGTTAAGCGGCTTCTTTTTCTTGCAGGGATTGGCTGCATCTAGGATTGCATTCTGGGGACAAGAGAGCTATGTGGTGCTTCTGTGTGAGTGGTAAGATTCGAAGTTTTACTGTCATGGCCTGTGGCTGTGTCTTCAAGTGATGAAAATGTGGGTGGCCGTCAGCTCTGCTGAGTACTCTTTAGGGAGGCAGGCTGGGGTCCTCTAATCTGCCCTTTCTACTTATCTAAAGGGTAGCTGGGAGCTTGTATCCATGACGGAACAGTTGCAGGGGATTCCACAGGCCAGTTCCTCTCAGAACTGATCCTGCTGGAATCTGCCCGAGAGTTGGCGCGGCAGGGTGTAATTGAGGGGGGACCTTCTGCCCTTTCTCAGTGCCTGGGTAGACCTCTGGTGTTCTGCATTGTCTCCTATGAGAGCTCTTAGCGCTCCTTAGAAATGCAAACATAGGTTGGAGAAGAGAGAGCAGCTCCTTAGAGGCTGGCCTCTCTATCAGTCAGTGATTCTCAATCTTAATGCTACTATTATGAACTGTAATGTAAACAAACATCTTTGTTTCTCCTGGTCATAGGCTTCCCCTGTAGAAGGGTGGTTTGACCACCAAAGGGGTTGCTACCCACGTAGGTTGGAAACCATGGGTCTGTACACTTAGGGTAGGGCAGCCGTTTCACTCTTTGTCCTGTATTTGTTAGTTCTTAGTAGTGGCTTTTAATCCCAGCACTCAGAAGGCAGGCAGATCTCAGCATGAGTCTGGCCTCAAAGAGTTCCAGGATAGCCCTCTTGGGGAAAAAAAAAAACAAAAAAAACCCAAGTTGCTCCAGAACTCAAGACAGTAAACACATATTATCTAACAGTTTGGGTGACTCAGGGTCTGCAGGGTGGTAGAGTAGAGGCAGGCTAGGTGCTAGGCTGTGTTGTATGGAATGCTACCATGGGTCTGGGGTTGCAGTGGTGACCAGTCTCTCTCTCCTGGAAAGCGTTCCTGTGGTCTTCATCTTCCAGCTTGATGCCAGCAGACAGCAGTTGGTGTTCAGACAGCAGCTGACTTTCCCTCATCGAGTGTGGGATGTCGTCTTTGAGGACACTCGGGGGCTGTGGGTTCTGCAGGACTGTCGGGATGCTCCCCTCATGCTCTGGAGGCCTGTGGGTGACCAGTGGCAGGTGAGAGTATGTAACGTCTCCATGTACTGAGGGTGGGGTGGGGTGGGGTGGGGCAGGCTGAGACCCCAACCTGTACTGGTGAAGCCAGCACAAGGCCTGATGTGGGTGTGCCCTTCCTGTGTGCAGGAGGTGGGGGTGGAGGGAGCAGTGTGGGGACATCCCCGCCAATCCCATGGTGTAGGAGCCTTTTACTACAACCCCATGAGGCCATGGGTGAGGTAGGCCAGCACCGGGAGCTCTTTGTAGCTTCCTGTGCTCAGCTCCTGGGGCTGAAGGCTTTATGTGACTAGCCTTAGAGATAGGGAACCTGTGCCTGATGATGGGCCCTGCTAGGCCGATGCCTGCCATCTCTGGGCTCTGTTTTTGGTCCTGACCCTGCTTACTTGTCATCTGCAGGCTGTTCCTGAAGATGCTGTGTCCCAGAGACTCGGCAGCCATCTCCATGAAAATTGGGCCATGCTGGAAGGTGAGAACTCGGTTAGGTCTGTAATGCTGATAAGACAGCAGGAAGCAAAGGGGCTTCACAGCCGGAGCACCGGAGCAGATACTGGCTGGTTAACGTATCTAACAGGAAGATGCGCTGCTGCAGGTTCAATGAGAAGCAATTGAGGCTGTGGGGGCCGTGTGTCCTGGTTGGGGTGGAGCTTCCAGGTGTCCACTGTTGTATTTACTTGACAGAGAATGGTCATTCAGACAGGACCACCCAGACTCAGCCTTTTATGAAACAATTACCTAGAAAAGATCTTGCAAAGCTAATTCTTATTAGAAGTTGATCTGAAACTTGATTTCAGGGGCGTTTGTACCAGCTGTGAGCTAAATGCCCTCTGAAGTCTGCCTGCAGGCTCACTGGCCACAGGGCAATCTAGTGGGCACTTTCTCAATTAAGATTCCCTTCTTTCATAATGACTCTAACTTGTATTGAGTTGACATACGAGTTTTCAGGACAAGGTGGGAAAGGGTTAGTGTCCTCTGACCCAGTCTGAGTCTGCATTAGGTTTTCAGGGTGGACCCGGGCTGGTCACCCTGAGAATTCCTGACTAGCTTTTTAAGGATAAAATTGTTGTGTCTCAGAGACAACCTCTTGAGAATCTTTCTTCATGTGACGTGAAACTCAGGTTGTCAGGGATGGCTGCTGTTTCTGAGCCATCTTGCTGGCCTCCCACTGCAGTTCCTTATTTCCTGCCTGTTCTGGGCTTTCCCCAGTCTGCTTCTGTTGAGGGTTACCTGGGCCTGGCTTTACTTCTAAGATATTCCACACATAGATGGGGGCATGGATGGATGGAGAGGTGGAGACCCAAGCTAGCCTGAGTATCCTGAGCAGTGGCCTTGACTGCTAGAGGTCAGGGAACCACATCCACCGCAAGGTAGGGTGACATAGGGGCACTCCCTGGCATGCGATGCTGACTGTCTTCCAGGTGTGCTACTGCCGACACCACCCAGAGCCACACACCTGCTGTCATTCCAGTGGGCACTGTAGACTGCCTACCGTCCACTGGTGTTGACTGACTGGCTGGTCTCAGGTTCCCCTTGGGCAGTGTCTGTCCCCACTCAGTAGCTGGTTGGAGGATTCAGGCCTCACTTCTGTGGTACCCCCTGTTCAGGACTTTGTCAGGTGCAGATAAGATGTCAGCCAAGACCTACCTATTCTCTCCTTCCACTTCCACCCTTCCTTTCACCACATTCTGTGGGCCAGCCTGACTACGGATCCCAGGTGGTAGGGGCGTGGGCCCCCTCGAGGTCTGTGAGGTGTCAGGGAGGCGATCCTGTGAGGAAATGGTGCTGGGCCGTGTTCCAAGTCACTTCACCTGGCGTCCGCTCTGTCCTTGTCATAGGCGCTGTTGGTGCAGATGAGGGTTTCCGCAGCCTCTACAAGGCCACCTTTGACAACATGACCTCTTACCTGAAGAAGAAGGAAGAGAGACTGCAGCAGCAGTTGAAGAAGAAACGACAAAGAAGCCCCCTCCCGGGGTCCCCAGAACAGACCAAAAAGGCGTGCCCAGGGCAGTCAGACCTTAGTTGCTGACCTTGGACTTGGCAGAGCTCTCAGCCCTGAGGTCTCATGGGTCGGTCTCTCTTCTCCCTCCTGCCTGGTTCATCCATAAGGAGGGAGATCATGGCAGCTCATTCCCCACCTGACTCCACAGCTGTCTTTGTCACTGAGCACAGCCTCCTGGCTGCAAGGGGCACACATGGTGTTAGCCTAGTTAATGGTTCTTCAGAGCTGCATGGAAGCACCTTCACATTGAAGGATACACTGACCTGCAGCACCACGTCCGTCAGTCAGTGCCCACGGTGCTGTCTCTGCAGATCTTCTCTAGGGAGGCCTGCGGGCAGGACGGGCAGGACCTGCCTCCACGCCATTGCTGTGGGCTCTCCAGGTGGAGTATGGCATGGCTCACACGTAGCTGCTGCTATTGTGGGGCAGATTGCTCTATACTCATAGCCACATGTGGTGAGGGGCTCAGTCCGGGCCAAGCAGAGCAGCGAGGGAAGCAGGCATGGCATTGGTGCTAGAGCAGACCTACCTTCAGGGCAGATGAGGATGTGATCTGGGCCAGGCCTTATTTTACAGGAATGACCAGTGATGTCGTGGTCTATTGCTTTGATTTGAACTCTGCACACACTGCAGAGCAGCAGGGGATCAATTGAACACAGCATCAATAAAGACAAACTCTGCATAGCTTTCTGGAATGTTCAGCAGTGGCCTCCAAAACTGGTCTTAAGACATTCAACATGTATATGATGAGATGACTTAGCTTATAGTGGTTAGAGAGAGGTATGGCCCAGCTCTGCCTACTTAGCATGTAATGTCCCAGACCAGCCCCAGTAGAAACAATCCTGGCCTGGGGAGATTCTTGGTGAGTAAGAGCAGCTGTGAAAACAGAAGACCTGAGTTTAATTACCTACCCATACAGAAACCCTAATATTGGAGCTGCAGGCCAGGGCAGATCACCTAGCCTAAATGGTGAGCTTTCAGATGTTCAAGATGGACAGCAGAAGAGGAAGACACCCAGTGCATTCATGGCATGCAGTAAAGTCTTGTGGCTGCCAGCAGCTCTGCTGCCTTGCTTGTATGCAGGCGCTTTATTTCCCTCAAGGTGAGACTGGGCCAGGTGCACATGGATCAGGGCATGCCCTCCTGTATGGGAGCTAGCTAGCATCATAAGCATTGAGGTGCTTGGTCCCAGAGTGAATCAGGAGGCAGAGACAGGTGGGTCTCTGTAAATTCGAGGCCAACCTGGTATACAGAGTGAGTTCCAGGACAGTCAAAGCTACACAGAGACACCCTGTCTTGAAAAAGAAATGGATCTGCAACCTGGTCTGGGCTGTGACCTAAGGATTTCTAGGTTTTAAATAGTTGGAAAGAAATCAAAGGAAAAACGTTACATGGCTATTTAAGTTAAAGTCTGAGGTCAAAGGAATACAGCTTTGCTGAGACAGCTGTGTTCTCTCAGTGCTTCTGTCATTTACTGCCTGTGGGCCAGATAGAGCCTGTGCCTGCGCAGCAGTTCTCTGGGGGCCATCAAGGCCTGTGGCCTGATACCAGGGACGTTCAGAGGGCCATGTGTCCCTAGACCCAGCATGTACATTGCTGAGAGGCATCTTGGATCCCTGGTGTGCCTTGTAAGCTCTGAAAGAGCCACACAGTGATGGGGAGTCCTTGTGTCAAAGCCGGGCGATGGTGGCGCACGCCTTTAATCCCAGCACTCGGGAGGCAGAGGCAGGCGGATCTCTGTGAGTTCGAGACCAGCCTGGTCTACAGAGCTAGTGCCAGGACAGGCTCCAAAGCCACAGAGAAACCCTGTCTCGAAAAACCAAAAAAAAAAAAAAAAAAGAGTAGATGAGCTTGGGGAACCTGGTGACTGTTTACAGTACATGTGGAATGTATGGGCTAGAATTTAACCACTTGGATTCACGTATGTGAAGGCACCCTCAGGAATAGGGTGTTTGCTGAAGCCTCTGAGATATACACACTGTTAATGGCTTGTGTGTATGAAATTATTAGTCTATCTACAGGCATTGAATTGTAGTGATATCTACACTGTTTTAAGAAGCTTCCTGAAGGTCAGAGTGCAGTGCTAAGCCACTAGAGGCCAGGGAGTGGTGGCATACACCTTTAATCCCAGGACTGGGGGGGGGGGGTTCTCTGTTAGTTCAAGGCCACCCTGAGCTAAACAAAATTGATTTTATCTAAAAGAATAGCTCACACAAAGGTGATCCCAGCATTTGGGATCTTATGTCTTTAGTCCCAGCACTAGGGAAGTAGAGACAGGAGTGATATGGCTGGGCAGAGAGAGGAATATAAGGCAGAAAGAGACAGGATCTCAGTGCAGCTTGAAGTTTGGTGGAGACAGAGTCTGGAGATGCAGTCTGAGGGCAGGATGGCCCCCATTGGGCTGAGCATTTAGTGGCTGGCCTCTGTGTTTCTCTTTTGCATTAACCCCTATATCTGACTCTGAGTTTTATTAAGATCAACTAGAATTCGTGCTACATTAGATGGTTTAGATATGTTAGCTGGTAAGCAAATGCTGTGAGTTTCATCCTCATTTCTTTAAGTCCACAGTCCTCTCTGATCAGACGCTCAACTGTCTCGACTTTGGACATCCCATTGAATGGCTTCCGCAGCTCCTGTCTTCTTAGATTACTAGTTCTAGATTACTCAGGCTTCACTGCCTTGCTTCTGGCCTGTAGGTGTCCTCTCTGCTGTGTCTCCCTCCCCCTTGGCTCCTCCTGGGCACATCTTACCTTGGAGACAACCCTCAACATTTGCCCTTTCTTGCAAGCACAGTGCCAAGCTCTGCCACTAGGAGGAGCTAGAGGCACACCAGGGATGCGGATGGCTCTGATTTCTAGGTGCTGCCTTTTCTGGGTTTCTGTGCTATGCGCTTGCCTGCTTTAGGGACATTCAATGATACTCTTGGAGTTGAACAGCACCCAGTGGGAGTCTTCCCGGTGACTTCCAGCTTTCATCAGGGGGGTTCCAGTGTGGATCTTGGTAGCCAGTCCTTTCACAGCCCATTACCCTGCGTGGCAGGGCTACTTCCAGCAAACAGGTTCCGCTGCATCTCAGATGTAGTGGATGCATCCAGGCCCACCACTTCTTTGTGCCTGTCACCTGTCCTGGGATGGTGGCTACCACTGAGAATACACACATTATCTTTCTACTGGGCGCTGGGGACTCCTCCCTGCTGCTTCTGAGACTTTCTCCTTCTAAAGATTTTCTGTGATTGTGTGTGTGTGTGTGTGTGTGTGTGTGTGTGTGTGTGTTCTGTTTAGGGCTTGATTCTTGCTGAACTGTTTGTGCAGCATGGGACATCCCCAGCTCCTACCTGCTTCTACAGTCTGACTCCAGTGTGACTGGCTTGATCTGCTGGCCCTCAGGTTGCCGCTCTCTGCTCCTCTTCAGGCTTCTGTTCTGCCCTGCTTCTGTCTGGGCAGATTTCAAATGACTCATCTTCCCTGTGGCATCTAAGGATTTTCTTTATTTCAATTTTGGCCTAAGCCTAACGTTTCTCTGAGAATAGTCATCTTATGGTTTAAATTCATCCTTGGGCACTGGGGTGTGCATGGGCTTTACCTGCTCTGTTGTCTGTGGCATTTCTATGTTTCTGTGCTTGTGTGTGTACATACATGTGTGTATGTTAGAGGTATGTTGTGCACATGTCAGAGGTCAGAGAACTGTGGGAACTGGTTCTCCTACTATGTGAATCTTAGGGTTCAAACTCAGGTCACCAAGCTTTCCCCACTGAGCCCTCTATTGGCCCTGACCAGTTCATCCTGTGCTTAGGGGACACCTTTTCCTGGGACAAGAATGCTGCAGGTTGGGACCAACCCTGACTGTGCCCTTGCTTACCCCCCCCCCCCTTTTTTTTTTGGGTTTTTTGAGACAGCGTTTCTCTGTAGCTTTGGGGCTTGTCCTGGAACTAGCTCTTGTAGACCAGGCTCGAACTCACAGAGATCCACCTGCCTCTGCCTCCCAAGTGCTGGGATTAAAGGTGTGCACCACCACTGCCCGGCTTTAGCTGACCTTCTCAATCATGGGATAGGACCAAAGTAGGAATGACTCTACTTCTGCTCGGGTGTGGCTGCACTGGGTCCCTGTTCAATGTCCTTTGTGCCCAGAGTATGAGCACAAAATTCTAGGAAAACCCAAGTGTCCCCCAGGCTGTTGCAAGGTGTGGGGTTGCTATCTTAGGTGCCTGGAAATTGTTCCTTCTCAAAAGTTGCTCAGGGTTTGGTATTCAGCAATAGACCTGAGAGGATCCCAGCCTCTTTTCTTACCTCCATGTCCCTCTTCGTGCTGCAGGAAGTTTCTCCCTCCTGGGGCGTTGCAGTCAGAATTGCTCCCAGGCGTACAGCCTAAAGGATGTGTCCCTGAGGGCCTGGACAAGGCTTGCACTGTTGGTTCTCCTGCAGGAAGGCAAAAGGGTGATTCTAGGTCACCTTGTCCATCCTGGCCAGCCAGGAGATCACCTGTGTTCCTGAATTTGAACTTTTCACTCTGACTTCCTGGGGAACCTCTTTTGCCCTGTTGTTCATGGGGTTGATCCCCCCCAGCTCATCTGAAGGTGACCTTCTAATGAGTTGCTGCCCTTCAAACAATTATAAATGTTTTTGTTTTGAAAACTGCTTGCACTTTACCCTCCAAACCTCCCAGAACTGCTTTTAATGCAGATATTTGCGGTCACATCTGTGTTTGCTTGTGGTTCCTCACAATGGCTTTACCACTCAGGGAACCGTGCTGGGAACACCTACAGAAGGATGGGGGGCGGGAGATTGGTATCCTGAGAAAGCCACTGGGCACATGCTTTTTTTCTGTGCAGTGAAAGCCGAGTGGCTTTCAGCGACTCACTGGAAGCTTTGTCAGTTTTTGAAGCAGGAAATTACAAGCCCCACATTGCTATTACAATTTTTCTGGTCCCAGTTCCACAGTGAAGAAGTAAAAGCAAAACAGTAGCCTTCAAGGTTCCTCAGGCCCAGTGCTTGGTAGGGAAAGGGAGGTGCTGGAGGCAGGGAAGCTGGGGAGCCAGAGCAAAGCTCCATGGGACACTGGGATGTGCTCCCAGAGAGTCCCCGTGGGTCAGCGTGGGCAAGGACAATGGAGAAGGTAAGAATCTGTCTGCCTCTGGGATTAGCCATTCACTGGCAGCTACAGACCATGGTCATATTCATTTGCTTTCTATTGCTATGATAAAATACTGTGACCAAAACCAGCCTGGCTGGGGGCTATTTAATCTTACAGTTTGTGGTCCATCAGGAAGAAAGCCAGTGCAGGCGCTCCTGGCAGGAACTGAAGCAGAGCTGCTTACTGACTTGCTCCCTGTGACTTGCTCTGCCTACTTTCTTTTTTTTTTTGTTTGTTTGTTTTTTGAGACAGGGTTTCTCTGTAGCTTTGGAGCCTGTCCTGGAGCTAGCTCTTGTAGACCAGGCTAGCTTCGAACTCACAGAGATCTGCCTTCCTCTGCCTCCCGAGTGCTGGAATTAAAGGCATATGCCACCACCGCCCGGCCTTAGCCTGCTTTCTTTTAGAATCTCAGACCACCTGCCTAGAGGTGCTACCATCCACAGTGATTATTAATTATTAATCAAAAAATGGCCTACAGACCTACCTACAGGCCAATCCAATGGGAGCATTTTCTCAGTTGAGGTTCCCTCATCTCAGATGACTCTGGGTTTGTGTCAATGTGAGAAAAATCTCACCAGTATAATGGTCAGGGTTCCTACCTGTGATACTTGTGCTTGCTTTGAACAGGAACAAAGTTAAGAATTTTAAATGCTGCCAAAATCTGAAATCACATCTTTGCATGCCATTGGGTTTGGGCACCTTCCAGAAGCCTGAGGCTGCATTTGCTGTTGACCAAAAGCCAGCACCACAACGATATGCAGAGAGCAGAGCGTTTCCTGTGGTCAGGAGCATGGCGTGGTTACTGTTTACTTTTCCACTCTGCAGGGGTGTAAGCCAGGGCAGCTAGACAAGGGAGCTGATTCATGGCACAACTGCCAAGGGAGGAAAGCTATTGGCAGGTGGCATGATAAGGTGTCTGGACAGCCTAGAGGTCCATGCTAAAACCAACTCTCAAGTCACTGGATAGAAGATTGAGAGAAAAAGGCAACAGCCCTGATATATGAGTAAGAAATAGAAGATTAGGGACTAGAGAGTTGGCTCAGTAGTTAAGAGTTCATACTTGCCTAGTGGTGGTGGTGCACACCTTTAATTCCAGCACTTGGGAGGCAGGGGCAGGCTGATCTCTGTGAGATGGAGGCCAGCCTGGTCTACAAGAGCTAGTTCTAGGACAGGCTCCAAAGCTACAGAGAAACTCTGTCTCAAAAAATCTTCATACTTTTGTTAAGGATCTGAGTTCAGTTCCCAGCACCCACATTATGGCTTACAACCATCTAACTCCAGTTTCAGGGGACCCAACACCTTCCTCAGACCTCAACAGATACCAGGCATACACATGCTACACATACTTGTATGCAAAGCAGAAACACACATACACATAAAAAATAGATGAATAGTTTCCAGCATTATCTGTTCCTGTCTTTGATCCTTGCAGACTTGGAGATGGGAGTAGGGCACATGGGGAGTGTAGAAGGTGGGAATGTTCATACAGTATTGAATAGTGACTATTCTCACTTCTCTCCGCGTCCACACACTTCATCCTGTGTGTGTCATCCCATGTGCTAGCTGAGGGCCAATCCACCTCGGCTCTTTTCCCATCTGGGCATGTCTTCTGGCTAGGGTTATCCCCCTTGAGTGATGTGAGATTCCCCTCTGTATGCTGTAAATACCATTGGTTAATAAACTGTCTTGGGTAGACAGTTTATTAACCAATGGTAGAGCAGAGCTGGGGGCAGGGGACAACACAGGACAATACACTAAATTGAATGCTGGAAGAAAGAAGGCAGAGTCAGAAGCCATGTAGCCCCACTGGAAATAGATGTCAGAACTTTACCCAGTAAGCCACAGCTTCTTGGTGATACACAGACTAATGGAGATGGGTTAAATTAAGATGTAAGACCTAGCCAATATGAAGCTAGAGCTAACAGGCTAAGCAATGAATTAATACAGTTTCTATGTGGTCATTTTGGGTCTGAGCTGCAAGGCGTCCAGGAAACAAACAAGCAGCATCCTACAACACTTGAGTTTCCCTTTCCTGTTAAACACAGGAACCTGCCTGTGTTCCAGTCCCCTAAGGTCAAGTTGCAGGCTGTGTAGGTGGCACTATCTGATAGACTCATGCAGTGAGCCACAAATGCCAGGCACCATGTGACTGGATGTCCTCAGAACCTATTAAACAGCAAAAGCTCAGGAGAAATCAATAAGCTTTTTGACTAAAGCAGCATGGCCAAAGGGCTATCATTTCATTATGTAATTGATATAAAATTAATGAGAAATTTTGCATTATCACATCACACTGAGCATTAAGCCTGGTGGCTTTTCTGCTCTTTCTGGGGCCTTGTGTGACAAAACAGCTTTGGCTGCCGTCACAGAGGAATTGGCCTACAGACACATAGCTAATGATGTCACACAGCTGTGGCTGCATGGTTGCATAGAATACAGGACCTAGTACTGCCACCAAAGTACACAAGAGAAGATGAGGATCTGTGGCTGTCAGTGGCCCTGAGGAAAGGGAGGGGCTGGAGAGCTGGGGGCTTGAGGGCTCTGGAAGCCAGCCAAGCTCACTGACTTTGCCTATGAATAATGATCACCCCTAACCACTTTCTCCCCTAAGTTACTCTAGGACCGGGTTCTAGCAAAAAAACAGTTGAAACCGGAACAAGCACTCATTCTAACTCAGGCAAAATGAGTGGAAGGTGCTGGAGGCTGGGGAATCCACATTTGCTGTGTGGAAATGGAGCTCCTGTTTGGAAGATGTTCTGGAGAAGGTGGTGATGGCGATGGCTGCATGGCAGTATATAGGAACTGCACCTAAAATAGTTAAAACAATAAATGTGTCATGTGTACAAATGTTTCCTACATGATTGCCTCTAACTGCAGGTGACCATTTCTAGAGGAGAACAGAAGGCACCCACAGGGAGTGACCAACATGAGGCAGTCCTGGTCCTTGGCGGCAGGGATATCTGATCTAGAAGCCTCTGGGGGCATATCTTTAGTGGGTGCCTAAGGCCTGTAGGAGCCATACATGTCCTGATGTGTCCCCTGCTGAGGCAGCACGCTTTTACACACTAGGACCTGAGCAGGGGAGTCAGAGAACTCTACCATCCCACATGTCCAGTGAGCTCCTCCTCCATCCCACACGCCCAGTGAGCTCCTCCTCCATCCCACACGCCCAGTGAGCTCCTCCTCCATCCCACACGCCCAGTGAGCTCCTCCATCCCACATGCCCAGTGAGCTCCTCCATCCCACATGCCCAGTGAGCTCCTCCTCCATCCCACATGCCCAGTGAGCGCCTCCTCCATCCCACATGCCCAGTGAGCTCCTCCTCCCTCCCACATGCCCAGCTACAGGGCCAGGATGGAGCAACCTCTACAGGCAGTCAAGTCTCAGTGAGACCATCTCAAAGGACATAAATAGAGTTCCCAGGATGACACATGAATCTTTCTGCTCCACATGCCCACACATGGATACCTGTGCACACCTGCACACATAAAAATAGGAGCACAGGAGCTGATTCCTAGTAAACTATCTATACTCAGTGGCTTATCAATGTTGGCTTTTTTTCCCCCTAAGACAGGGTTGCAGAACACAGTATCCTCTGAGCCGAATAGCTGTCAACTTCATCAGAGCAGCTGTGACCACTTGCAATAATCAGTTCTGTTGATTATTGACCCTCCCTCCTAGTAGGAAGGGGTGGGGTGACATTGGAAACTCCCCTGTACCTCTCAGCTAGCTATGTGTGACTTCCCTAATTGCACACAGCCTCATGGTCTCCAGAGGGACTAGGATAACAGAGATTGGTAGGAGAGACAAGAAAAGGATTTCTGCTAAGGGGAAAGTGATCAGCCATGCTAGGTGAGACTTTCTGGTGCTGTGGCTGCTTTGGGGTCACCCGTGCTCTGGCAGTAGCCCCTCACCCATGCTCTGTACAAAAGCCCAACAAATTCACTGGCTTCCAAGTTAGACTTTGGTGGAATTGGACTTTAGTTTGTCATTGGTGCCCTATCCGGTGGGGGAAGGGCCAGATGTGTGTTTGTGTTCCCCCATGGGAAAGAATTCATGAACTGTTCCATTGGCTGGGGATCCTGGACTGTGTGGAGTGGAGGAAATGAATAGCAGCAGCAGCAGCAGCAGCAGCAGCAGCAGCAGCAGCAGCAGCAGCAGCAGCAGCAGGATTCATTACTCTCTTCTGGCTGCAGGAGTAGTGAGACCAGCTGCTTGAGCTCACAGTGCCTCGACTTCCCCACGGTGATGGACTGTACCCGGAACTGTGAGCCAAAACAGATCCTTCTCCTTCAAGCAGCAGAAAAAGAAGCTAAGATACTAGGCAGGTTCTCCTCAACTGAGCTGTGTCCCCAACTTTGGATGGTTTTGTTCAATCTGCGAATTACCCAAAATATACTGGCTTTAACTATAAAACACAGGTTGAGAGCCAGGTGGTGGTGGCACACACCTTTAATCCCAGCACTCAGGGGGTAGAGGCATGCAGATCTCTGTGAGTTCGAGGCCAGCCTGGTCTGCAAGAGCTAGTTCTAGGACAGGCTTCAAAGCTACAGAGAAACCTTGTCTAAAACATTTGGCAGAATCTTTCTTATCTGTCCATATTGTAGCCACACTGTGCTCTGTGACAAATATTCTCTTCTTGGCCAAACTCTAGTTAGGCTCTTGAATCTTCTCCTCAACCCCATTGGTGAACTTCCTTTTAAAATACACTTGGCAGGCTGGAGAGATGGCTCTGAGGTTAAGAGCATTGCCTGCTCTTCCAAAGGTCCTGAGTTCAATTCCCAGCTACCACATGGTGGTTCACAACCATCTGTAATGAGGTCTGGTGCCCTCTTCTGGACTACAGGCATACATGCAGACAGAATATTGTGTACATTAATACATAAATATTTAAAATAAATAAATAAAATACACCTGGCAAGAACTCTAAGTCAGTTTATCAAGAACTCCCTACTCTCAGATCTGGTCCTTAATTTATTTTTTTTTATGGTGTATGTGTGTGTGTGTGTGTCTGTCTGTCTGTCTGTCTGTCCCCAGGGATGGGTGGCTGACAGCAGGATCTTCTGTATCTGCTCTCTGATTTTATTTATTTATTTACTTATTTTTGTAGCTGAGGCTAGCTTCAAACTCCTGATCCTTTTGTGTCCACACCCAAGTGCTGGGGTTCCAGGTGGGTGCTGCCACACTTAGCCTGATTGCTATTAATTTCTGAGGAATTCCCTGTCCCCTTTGTCCTTGGGAGGTGTCTGGTGATCCTTGCCTGTCCTTCATCAGGAAGACCGTCAGGTCAACTAGCTAGATCTCCTTCACCAGTGTCACCTTGTCCATCCTTTGCTCCAGGGCTGTAAATACCCACTCTCTCTTTCTGCTGGGAGAGGTGAGCCAGTCTCTCCCGGACTACAAAACTCCCTGCCTGGTCCCTGCACCTGCTGAGTTGTTGAGAAGGGAGTCTGCCTTGAACTTTGACACTCCCTTCCCACCCTGCCATAACTTTGCCTTTCACACCGTAGCCTGTGTGCTCGCTTGATGTCTTTGTTTCCTGTGACTGAGCTCTCTGCTGGCTTTGAGAATGAGCAGACCGTTCTCATGGTTTGTGTGGGAATGATGTTCTTTGAGGCTCTCTAAGCTCTAAGAGTTCGAGAAAGAAGCCGCTTTTGAGCATTTCACTGCAGCTTGACCCTAACGAGCTCCTTCTGTGAGCTCATCTCCTGAGGGTTCCTGGCCATCGGCACTACAACACATCATTCGATAAGACCCTGGCAGAAAAGATGATAAAGAAAACTGAGCCACCCAGGAGGGTTCATGAGTCTAGCTGTGGGGGAGGTTAGAAAACCCTGTATTCCAATGCAAAGGGCACAGGCAGCTGCTCTTTGCTTTAGGTCTGAAAGGCCAAAGAGGAACTTACTTAGAGCAGGAGGCTGTGCGGTGACCAGGCTGACCAGTGGAAGCTGTGGTCCTCAGCAAAGGCCACAGCCAAGCAAGGACGCAAGGGACCTCAGTGACTACCAGGCAGCCTGGTCTACATAACACACGACACCCACCCATCCCTGGCACCAAACACTCCCTTTTCCAGGGGCATGAAATATATACGAAGACAGAGTGTGTCGCCATCCATCAAACCAAGCTGAAGGCACTTGAAAAAGGATCAAAAGATTGCCCACGGCATCAGACACACCCTTTTCCAGCACAGAGAAAGGTGTACCAAGAGACTGTGCCAATCTATCAAACCAACCTCAAAGCCCTTGAAGGTCCAGGCTGAAATGTTACAGTGTGGTTCTTGTCCAGAGTGAAGTCTAACTAAGTATCAATAGTACCAATAACCAGAAGACAACAGGAAACCCTTCAAACAATTGGGGCCAAAGTAACCTAGTTTTAAATGATCCACGATAAGAAAGAGTCTCAAGGGAAATTTAAAGAGACAGTGAACTGAGGGAAAATGAAAATACAATGTATCAAATTCAGCCCTGGGGCACAGCTATAGCCTGGCTGGGAAGGAGATTTACAATGCTAATGCTGGAAGGGAGACAGCAGGATCCAGTCCCTAACTAGACTTCAACCTCAATAAAAAGGGCCAAATAAACCCAAACAACTCAGAAGAAAGAAATATAAAAGGTGAAAGTAAAAACAATGCAGAAAGTCGGGGGGGTGGGGGGGAGCGGACAGAGCTTGCTCTTTGAAAGATCAGTAAACTAGCAGGAGAGGAGAACCAACCGCTAATAGTGGGAACGGAAGAGCGAGCATCACCAGACTCTGTGGCAGCAAGGGTGTGACCCAGGGACACTGAAAAGCATCCACACACAGAACAGCTTATGTGAGCGGGACCAACTGTTGGAACAGCAGACACATCTACCACAAGATACTCATTTAAACAGCTCCATATACTACGATGAAATGGGACCGATGATTAAACACACTGTCAACAGAAACACGACTCTTACCTCCTAGGGAAAAGGAGACAGTTTATTCTGGAGCTAAAGGTGAATGGCTGTGGTCCAGGAACACAGACTCAGTTTACCCGGATACTATGCTCCGGCATCATATCAGTTTCATGAAGTTTTTATAGCAACGGAACAAAGAAAGCCATAAATCAAGGCATGTTTAGAACACATTAGTGGAATATCAGGTAGGCAGGTGGGTTTCTGGAAAGCAGGGAACCTCTGCCATGGCCTCAGGTGTGTTGGAGGGTGCTCTCAGCCCTTGAGTGGGTGGAAGGTAGGGGTCTGTTTGTATGTCCCAAAGAGATTTACCCAATAGTCACAAGATATTACACCACACAGAGAGGCAGCCAATAAATGGCTATCAAGGGGCTAAGATAACCCAGGATAATTTGGCTCTGGACCTGCATCATTCCAGCTCTCCTCAAATCACAAAGGTTCTAATGACTGAATCAGGCCTGTAGAATCTTTACATGGGTGTGCCTTTTTCTGGGGCCCTCAGTCCACAGTACCCCTCCATGCCTGTATTTGCTCATTCTTCAGTCTTTTTTTTTTTTTAAGATTTATTTATTTATTATGTATACAACATTCTGCCTCGATGTATGCCCACACGCCAGAGGAGGGCGCCAGATCTCAGTACAGATAGTTGTGAGCCACCATGTGGTTGCTGGAAATTGAACTCAGGACCTCTGGAAGAGCAGCCAGTGCTCTTAACCTCTGAGCCATCTCTCTGGCCCCTGGCCATTCTTTAGTCTTTGTACTGAAATTTATCCCAGGCATTTAATGAGGAATTGACACCAGTTTGTGCCCTTTCTTGCAGAAAACAAAGGAAGCAGAAGTCCTTCTCAATTACTACAGAAACTAGGAGTACTCTGAGACCAAGTCAGAGAGAGACAATAAAGAGGCAACTAT